TACACATCAAAAGTAAAGATTTTTAACATATCGGTCACCACGTCGGGAGAGTTCTCTTGTTCACCCCTAAAACGAAGAGCATAGAAGCGGTTCTTCTTTGGAGCATCACTAGAACCACTTGGTTGTCCGATCTTCTCTTGCCCTTTAGCACTAGGACAATCTCTCACCTTGTGGCCATTTTTGCCACAACCAAAAGCAAATCCCCGTTCCTATCAAGCATTCACCAAAATGACCCTTTCCACATTTGGCACAAGAAGGTTTCTCATTGGACGAACTCCTAATCTTCCCTTTTTGGACTTTCGACCTAGGGCCTTGTTATCCCTAGCCTTAGGAAATTTGGATGGAACTTGATTTGAGAATCTCTTCTTGAATTTAGGCTTGTCTTGAATCTCAAGCCTATTCTTTGTAGCTCCACCCTCAAAAGACCTTACCCTTTTTGAATCCCTATTCTTCCTCTTAGTTCTAGCCTCCTCCACCCCCCCAGCATGCACCATAAGACGGGAAATGTTCATATTGTCATGTAACATCACCGAATGACATTCTTTTTGTAAGTCATTCGATACACCCGTCACAAATCGACTCATTTCGTCTCTAGGATCGGAGACCAAGGAAGGAGCATATTTAGCCAATTAGATGAACTTCAAGGAGTAATCATGAACACTCATACCCCCTTGGCGGAGGTTATTGAATTCCACCACTTTTTCCTCCCTCATCTCTCTAAAGAAGAACCGATCTAGAAAAGCCGCCCTAAAAATCTCCCAAGTCACCGGACCACCCCTCAAAGGCCTATTATCCCTTCATTGGACATATCAAGTTTGAGCCACATCTTTGAGTTGATATGTGGCCAACTCGGCCTTCTCACTTGAAGACACCCCTATAGCATATAATATCTTGTAGACCTCATCAATGAATTCTTGGGGGTCTTCATCAATGTTAGACCCATAGAAAGTAGGAGGATTCATTTGAGAGAAGTCCCTTAGACGGAAAGCCATAGTAGTGACTTGTTTATGAGGATGGGGAGCAATATCCCGATTGGCTTGGGCTCAGTGTTTTGGGAAGCGAGAAGCGGAAAAAAGCAACGAGGGCTTGCTTCACAGAAGCGTGAAGCGTGAAGCAAAGTGCACGCTTTTTTAAAAAAAAAGCGACATTTAGTATAAAAATCAAAAAATATTAAATAACTAAATAGAGGTAATATAGTCTTAGATTGAAAGAAATTACATAGGCAAAAATACTCATAAGTCATAACATAACATATAAAGCAAAAAATCAAAAACATAATTAAATCATAATGATTCAAACTCCTATTCTTCAACAAGGCTGCTAGACTGATCACAAAAAAAAAAGAATTGAAAAAAAACCCAGAGGAGGCAGTAGTGACCGGTCAGTAATTAAAAACAGAGTAGGCAGCAGAGATGAAAAAAAGAAGAGAAGAAGTAGAAAAAATTAGAGTAGTCGAAACTCAGAGAGATGAAGCACAGACGAAGATTGTATATTTCAGGAGAAAAGAAACTCATAGAGATGAACTAATAAACATTAGCTAAAAAAGAGATGATCAAAAAGTTACCTACAGTCGCGGTCGAGGTTGAAGAGAGAGGCAGCCTCAGTCGAGATCGTCAGGAGAGAAAGAAGGGAAAGAAGTATTGTGAAAGAAGAGTCGCGAGGGGAGAAAGAAGGGAAAGAGTCGTGAAAGAAGAGTCGTGAGGAGAGAGAAGGTTATATTTCAGATTTTTTTAAAAAAAACCTAATTTTTTTTAAAAAAAACCCTAATTGTCGCTTTTTTTTATATAAAGCGCGCTTTATGCGCTTTTGCCTTAGGGTCGCTTCTCGCTTCTTCATCTGAAGCGAGAGCTTTTTTCAGATCGCCTCGCCTCAAGATAAAAAAGCGCACAAGGGTCGCCTCGCTTTGAAGCGCGTTTTTCACAACACTGCTTGGGCTGTCATAGCTTGGGCTTGAACCGTCGCGGCTTGTGCTTGAGTAGTCATGGCTTGGGCCATTTGAGTAAGAATAGCCCTCATCTCCGCCTCCGTCATAGGTGGAGGGTTAGCCGGGGCTTGATCAACATTAACATTCTCCTCAAGTGGAGGAACTTGCTCATCATAGGGAGGAGCTCCCGCATTAGCAACTTCCTCCTCAAGTCTTTGAGCCGCATTCCTTCGAGTGTTCATGCTTCCTATAAGCACAACAATAGGATTAGATGCAAAAGCACACCAGAAGTATACTCTATTGGCACAATATAAGATTTCCAAGAAAGAGAGCGATTCCTAAGCATCATATAGGTTTCTACTCATAAGTGTGGCACGCTTCACAATTATGAATACAAACCTATGTAGACGTGGTAGTGAGAGAGACATAATTCAACGATATTCAACCTCATCCTCTGATACCAAGTTTGTCACATCCCCCTATACCGGCGTCGGCGTCCTTTTGAAGGACTAAGACTAGCCTCACTTTCATGTCGTTACATTCATAGGTTGAAAAGTGCGGAAAATTTAAAACTTTTAATATTACTACTTTGAGGTTTACATAGACCTCTACATACACATACTATATATTCATATCGAGTATACATAGACCTTTCATATAGGAAGGTTACATAGCCTTCTCACGTACATATATAAGAATATAGAAATAGTCTCAATGATTGTCTCATCTCATACCATCTACACGGAATATCACAATATGGGCATAACCCTTACATCAATTCAACAAGACCATGTATAGGCCATACGAAAGTACAATATTCAAATAACAAAGAAAGAAATGATAGTCAATAAGCTCATAACAAAATCCAAAGCTAGAAGATGGCATTGCCCTCGAAAGTTGAGGACCTATCCCACTTGGATGAAAGGAAGAATCCAAGCCTTCAACAATGACGCCTCCCAAAACTCTTCAACGACCAGAACCTAAAATGTTTGGGGAAAAGGGAAGAAAATGGGGTTAGTACTCCACATGTACCAAGTATGGGATTTTATGCACATATACAAGCAAATTATGCAGAAAGGGAGCTTTTAGTTAAATCATGCCATTTTACTCCTTTAAGAACTTATGCACAACCCATAGTTAAGGAAGTCAAATGTATATCAACACGCTTGAACCCATAATATCGTATACTCTATCACCAAGTAATATTATCACAGGCATGAATAAGAGTAATCACATAAACAACAAAGTAAGGTAACAAATCATAAATTTCCATAGTGTCAACAAGTGCAATGACCAAGTAAAGCTCCGTAACCCTACTTAATCAAGTCACCCAACAAGAACTATAATTAGTATCATACTCCACACAATATAATCTCATATATTCATAAATTCATATCTTTAGTAATAAAGACCGTTAAGGCCATTTGCATGTTCATAAGCATCATAATCATCATATAAAAACATTTACATTTAACACCATCCATATACATAATATTAACTTCCCAAAGCTCTCATCAAGGCAAACTAGTGCAAGGCATAGGTAGAGTCGCATACCCCTACCTAGGCTAAGTCAAACCCCTCAAATCACTTTAGTTAGTCTATACTTCATTCTTTCATTTTATTTTAGGGAACACTCGCTTTAACCGACATAGACAACATGAGCTAAATGTGGAATCCGGTGTGATAAGACCTTACGCCGATGGAAGGTGGTCTACCGGCCAAGGTAAAACCTCCTATAAACATAGCTTTCTAGGTGGATCCACTAGCTAGTATCCTATGGTGGCAACATAGTTTAAGGAACTAAGAGATAGGTATTCCCTCTACATAACAATTAGTTGATGTTACTTTCTTTGAAGGTCAGACATACTTCACATTTTATTTTACTGAACATCTGGGCATCTTTGAGATTCTACTAGTTCCATTTTCTGGGGATCCTGTCATAGTTGATCCTTCCACCCTTCCCCTTCCCCTTCTACACCTCCATCTTTTTCAACTCCACCTCCATCACTATCGACTTATCATCGTCATCCACGCTCCTTATTCAGTCCAGATGAGCAGTCATTACCTACAGGTTGCGGATTTGTCTACAGAAAGTTCTTTCATTGCTACCGGAAAAAAATATTTGTTCTATTCATAACTCTCTATCTGAATATATTTGTATGAGCTACCATCATTTGTCACTAGCCCATGTTGTCTTTGTCTCATCACTATTATCTGTTTTCATCCCTAAGACTACACTTGAAACTCTTTCTCATCAAGGTATGATTGAGGAGGTGTCTGCCTTACACTCCATTGGTACTTGGGAGCTCGTTCCTCTATCATCTGGTTCTATTCCTAAGGTGAAATTCTTTGTCATCTAAGTTGGTAACAAGCTATGATTGGGGATATGTTTGCTTTACACTCTAGTGGTACTGGAGAGCTCGTTCCTTTAACTCCAGTTGATTGTCACTGGGTATATACCATGAAGGTTGGCCCCAACGGACAAATTTTGACTGTCTAAAGGCTTGTCTGTGGCTAAGATTGCTTCAGTCCATAACTTCTTATCCATGGTTGTTGTTTGCCATTGGCCTCTCTACCAATTGGATATTAAAAATGTTTTTCTGCATCAGGATCTCAAAGATGAGGCATATATGGAGCAACTGTGTAGTTTTGTTGCTCAGGAGGTGTGTAAACTAAGATAAGCACTTTATGGCCTGAAACAGTCTCCTCAATTTTGTGCCTCTTTTATTTCCTTCAAATCCAGTATTACCCACTTGGTTTGTTTAATTCTACTCTACCACAACTCCGGATCATTGAAGTTTTGATTCAAGTTGCAGATTCACTTTTCATTGAATTCAGAGCACTCATCTTAAACAAGAAAAAATAATATTAGGAGTTGCACTTTAACTTCGCGATAAGGTATACTTGGAAGTAGCACAAGTTTTGCAGCTAATACTTGAATAAATATTCTTTCTTGTGAATGTTTTCTAATGTGACAGCTCAAGCATGTTAATTCTTTTGTTATTTTACGAAAAAAAATAGAACTTATATGGGTGGTATAGCGTTGGAAATACTGATTCTTCTGACTGAATTGCAGTTACCATCCGATTCCTATCGTTTTTTCGAAAGCTAAGGGTTCATCCGTCTGGGATCCAGAAGGAAAAAAATATCTTGATTTCCTCTCAGCTTATTCTGCTATCAATCAGGTAAAGAGAGAGATTGTTTTTGACTATTTCCTAAAGTAGGTAGAGTCAACTTTGTACTATTCTTTATTGGTCTTCTAGCATGCACTTGCACAGCTCCCATAGATCCTGTTATTCATTCGAAAAGTTGAAGGGAAGTGTAGTGTCCATTCTTCCAATGCTATGTCACCAGGATATACATTTTATACACTCAGTGCTGCGTAGGATGTGCAGTTCAGGGCTCTTGGTTTCATTTATCTGCTTTGTTAGGTTCGTATTACCAACCAAGATGTACATTTTATATACTCACGACAGTATAGGACATGCAGTTCAGGGCTCTTGGTTTCATTTATCCGCTTTGTCAGGTTTATATTACCAACCAAGATGTACATTTTATGTACTCACAATAGTGTAGGAATGCTGTTCAAGACTCTTAGTTTCATGTATCCACTTTGTTAGGTTCACATTACCAATGATTTACTCCACCTAATAAATTTGACATTATTGTCTTGGCATAGAGATAAAGCAATCAACTTGTCTTACTAAAGAAACGTAAAGTAGTTGATAATATTTACGCTTTATCATGTTCATATGTTGTTAATAGTACTCTCTCCGTCCCATTTTATGTGGCAACATTTGACTGGGCACGGAGTTTAAGAAATAATGAAGACTTTGATATGTCTACCAAATTACCCTTCAAAAACGTAAACTTACTTTTCTCTCTCCTCATAAATGTATTAGAGTACTATCTTTAAAAGTAAGTGGGACCAACAAGGGTAAAGAATAATTGTATCTTTAAATATTTACCATATAAGGAAATGTGACATTTTTTATGGGACTGATCAAAAAGGAAAGCCACATAAATCGATCGGAGGGAGTACCTTTCTCAAATAGTTGTAACCACACAAATAGGATACTAAATGTAAGGTTTTCAAAAATCAGTCTTCAGAGCTTCCAGAATTTCATAAGCATGCTAACATTCATATTTCTCTGTATGCACCAGAAAAATAAATGCCCAAAGAACTATAATTTACCCTACACACAAGGCACCAGTTTGTATTTCAAAACACCTCCTGTATGTCTCTTTCTACAGACCCTCCACATGTAAGCATTGATGGACTTCTGTAGACATCACTCTTTGCATTTCAAAAGCTTCCATGGACATTCTCTACATCTCCATAGCCGTATCACAATGGAAAAGTAGGTTTACAGTTGTATCCTACGATGTTGCATACATTTGCAGAAGTATTGAAGTGATCATCCTCTTTATATTGTCTAAAGAAAGATACCTTTAGTGATGCTCATTTTCCACACCCCTTTCATCTAAGCAAAGAGGTTGAAAATGCAATTTGACTTGATCTAATATTTGTTGATTGTTATAGTATCAAAATGTTACTTTGATAAAATATTCATTACACGATGGTATAGTTTCCAATTTCTAAATGGATTTATTATTCTTGAAATATTGCAGAAGTGGAGGATAATATTTTTACAAGTGTATGAAATATTTTCAGGTCACAGAGATTAAAATAGAGCAGTACTATGAAGATTTTCATACTGAATGAAATTTCAATTTTATTTCCAGGGACATTGTCATCCGAAGATCATGAAAGTATTAGCAGAACAGGCTCAAATGCTCACTCTCAGTTCTCGTGCCTTCTATAATGATAAGTTTCCGGTATTTGCAGAACGTATAACCAGCATGTTTGGATATGATATGGTGCTACCTATGAACACTGGTGCAGAAGGGGTAGAAACAGCTCTTAAGCTGGCAAGGAAATGGGGTTATATGAAGAAGAGTATACCGAAAAATGAGGTTAAAAAAATATACCTTACTACTTTCTTTATGAGAGGAAAATATACCTTACTACTTCATGCATTCGGTTTTTGTCAGGAAGTCAAACTTTAGCAGTTTTCCTGATTACATGCATAGCAAATTCAGTTAGAGATAGATCTCTTAAAATGCATATATGAAAAACAATTTCCTTTTCTTTACTAAGTTATTCAAAGTCTTACAAAAGTTTCTGGTTGTCATGTAAATGTTACGAAAAGTTGAATCCTGAACCTGCTGCATCCTGTTTTGTGTGTGTATTCCTACTTTGAAATTCAAGTCAACTCTATGTTTCCAGGCATGCATAATTGAACTCCACCTGAAAGTTTCCTAACGACACCATGAAAGGCCATATCCTCTTTACTAAAATTGACCTGGATATCTGTCTAGACTTTTCTGATACATTACTTTTGCATTTGCAGGCTCTCATTGTCTCGTGCTGTGGCTGCTTCCATGGTCGTACATTGGCTGCAATCTCCATGAGTTGTGACAATGAAGCTACTCATGGATTTTGGCCCCTATTACCTGGGCAACTTAAAGTTGATTTTGGAGATTCGGTTGCCCTTGAAAAATTATTCAAAGGTACGTAAAGGTGATGGATCGATCTTGGCAAAATAATGGTAGTCAAATACATCCTTCCTAATTGCAGACATAGTAGTTGAAGTTCATTATTTTTCACTATTTTATGGTTTTCAGAAAAAGGAGATCAGATAGCTGGCTTTTTGATTGAACCAATTCAAGGAGAGGCTGGGGTATGTGTATTCTTCAAACTGAAATGATAAAAATATATAGTGTGTCTTATGGTTATATCTAATATGTTTTAACAAGAAATTTACAAATATTTGCTTGGAGTGTGAGCTACCTAACCTCAGCCTGGTATTTTCAGTCTTTTCCATGGCCATTTATTTTTTAATGTTTTGCTCATACCACCTGGAAAGGGCAGTGCATGCAGGAAGATATTGTCACTATGTGGTTATTGTCACTTGTCCGGATGGAAAAATTATCTGTGCTTATTATGTTACCACACAATATTTGCCTTCCTCTGCAGGTTATAATCCCTCCGGAAGGTTACCTGACGGCTGTTAGAGATCTTTGCTCAAAGTACAATATTTTGATGATTGCTGATGAAATACAAAGTGGCTTGGCACGCTCTGGTCGATTGCTGGCTTGTGATTGGGAAGAAGTTCGTCCAGATGTTGTTGTAAGATAGTTATTAGTTCTTATAAGAAGACAATTAAATTTTTTTGAACATATGCTACTTGCTTGAGTTTTTGTGGTGATGTTCCTAAATTTTGAAAATGTGCTGTGCAGATATTGGGAAAAGCATTAGGTGGTGGAGTCTTGCCTGTGAGTGCGGTGCTTGCAGATAAATATGTTATGCTTTGCATTCAGGCTGGAGAGCATGGAAGGTTGCAAATTGCTAATTGAGAAGTTTTCATAACTGTTTGTTAATTTATTTGACTTGCAGTTTATTTTGGACAGAGTTTGTTGCTCTGGAAAGATCAAGTTATGCATTCCATACTTCTCAAGTTATGTGACTTTCACAATGTTTTTATATATATCTATAAATGATGCCTTGCTTGTTGCTCAAAAAATAATAAAATGATGGTGTGCATGTTAATGGATAAAAATTCTTTAAAATCAACACTTTATGGTGCTTTAATGGCTTGGAAAGGTGATAAAAGAATGGAAAAGATACTCGAACCCAAATGAGTAGGATTAGGATAGTTTAGTCAAGGGCTATCAGGGTAACAATTGCTTGTAATTCTTCTTCATTATAGAACATTACAAAGATTTTATTCTAATTCTTTTCAGCATGGATGTCCAGTTTCTTTCGTAAATAGTTATACTAGTAATCATAGCTAGTCAAAACACCAGCTAGCAATGTTGACTACCAGCTTTGGCCTTCCAATGGCCTCGAGGTGAAAATTTTTTGCAAACTAAAACCATATTATGTCCCGGTTCTACTATTCAGTAGATGTATTTGAATAAATAGTATGTTATATTTGAACTCCTGCTCTGTGTGTGGTTTACCCTTGTGATTTTAAGTTGACTTGATTTGGGCTTATAACAGAGATTTTGAACTTGATATACCCCTACCACTGTTCACTGCAGCCACGACTGTGTGTGTTTTCTATTTTTTTACATTAATTTGTCTCTGTTTCATGATACATATCTTTTTTCTATTCAAACACAACAGCACTTTTGGGGGGAACCCATTGGCCAGTGCAGTTGCAATTGCATCTTTAGATGTGATTAGAGACGAAGGACTTGCCGAGAGGTATCAAATTCCTTGCTTCACACCAGATGTTTTGTTGCATATATTGTACACTAATCTGCCCCTGCCCAAAGGGTAGGATGTTGTGGGGAATGGTAGGGATTTTTCAGAAATCACATCAAACTTAAGATGTTTAGCATGAAATGCTCACCATATGGGGAACGATTCCTCTGCTCATAAGTGGGCTACACTTTTAATTCTGGGATACATTGATAGTAGTTTTGTGGTCTTTGTCATAAATCTCTTTTATATTAATCACCTGTTAGATCCTGCATTCACATTTCTTGATAATGAGCAACTTCCGATATCATAATCTGTACAAATTGTATCTTTGATAATAGATCTGCTCAAATGGGAGAACAACTTAGACATCAGCTGATAAAGATTCAGCGGCAATTTCCTCATTTCATAAAGGAAGTTCGAGGGAAAGGCCTATTCAATGCTGTGGAGCTTAATAGCAACTCCTTATTACCTGTGACAGCTTATGATATATGTATGAAACTGAAAGAGAGAGGCATTCTTGCTAAGCCAACTCATGATTCTATAATACGCTTGACGCCCCCCCTGTCAATGAGGTATGCCTTTTTTTCTTAATCTTATAATTGCTTAATTTTACCCCTTTTTAGTGGAGATCTCAATATCATTTCTTGTGAGAAGATGAACCTAGCTAGAGATCATCTGAGAATCAGTAGAATAATGCTCTCTTTCCTTTTTCTTTTTGGTGGTAGGAGTATGATTCCGGCTATAACTTGTAGACAAATTTTCTTCACCTTTAATATATCCACTTGAACTATCTTTTATAGTGTCTCTACATAGTTATTCATTCTTTTCACCATTCCTTTTTGTTGGAGGAGAAGGTAGAAATTTCTCTCAATTTTACTGAGTTGGAGCTAGCTACTAGCTAATATGACATCTAGCATAACTCAACCCCAAAAGTTAGCTCATGAGGGGAGGATTGCTCAAGTCCATATAAAGAGATCATCAGTCCATTCCCCAACCATTGGGACTTTAACCCACTCTAACACCCCCCTTTCACGCCCAAGCTCAATTGGACTGTGGATCGGAAGCCCAAACGAGGATAGACGTGACTCAGATACCATGTAAAGATATGACACCTAGGCTTAACTTAATCCCAAAAGCTAAGTTAGATCATCAGGGGAGGATTGTCCAAGTCTATATAAAGGGACGACCAGTCCTTTCCCCAACCAATGCTTTTACCCATTCTAACAGCTACAATATATGGAAGTAGCTCTAACTCTTTCCAATGTCCTTGCGGGTGTTTGTAGAACATTGTGTTGTTGGCTTGCTAAATGTAAAAATTCATATCCTTCTAGAACTTAAATATAGGAAATTTTTAATCAGCTAGAATTAGCATGTTAAATTATTTGGACCCATGTATCTATGTCAATTATAAGAGTTATCATTCATATGATTAGACTTTGTTTCTGCGGTTGTATCATAGAATATATTAATGTAGCTGTCGTTTTTCTTTCTTTTCCAGGATAATCGTATCCTACCTTTTTAATTGAAAGTATTGTAAAATCGTTAATGTTTGTTGAATAAAATCAAATAAGTAACTTTCAACCCCTAATAGAACTCAACATTCTACTTGAAATTATGAAATGCAAATACTTCTCAATGCCAACTTATTTTTACTCTTTTTGCTGGCCAAAATTTTGTCCCAATAGATTTTCCTGGCAAAATTTTAAACAACGCGCCAAGCAATACGTATTGCAAGATGTGTGTATGTTTTTTTGTTCACTAGGATTTTTCCTAGTAAGGTTTTAACGAGGTACATTATCTATGGACATCCAAGGGGATTCTTAATGAAACATTCACTGATTTCTCAATTTTGTGGTCCACCATGATAGAAATATTTATTTTTGAATATTGACCTTCCATTTTTAGTTGTTATGGAAGTTTGTTGTTGATTTTGCATTAGTAGTAAAACTTGACATAAGAACTCAAATTATTCAATCAGAAAGTTTTTGCAATTGTCCCCAAACAAAATCATCTCATACGACCTAAATTCTTTTTAATGATTAGTGGTCTTCTCACTTTAGCGTGGAAGTTGTAATCAGAGTTGTCAGGCACGGTTAATGCATGCTTAATGTCACTGACTTAGAGTATTTGCTATGACTCCGTGCAGTCCTCGACGACTTACTCACTATTTTCTCAAGATCTTGTAAGTTCAAGAAGCCTTAAGACTCGGAAAGCTAAGAGAATGCTTTGAAAGACTTAGAAAGAAAGAGAACTTTTGAAGAAGGCTTTTGTATTGCTTTGGATAATGCTTACAACTTTGCTTGGTGCCTTTGCAAATGAGGTGCACCTCTATTTATACTACTTCCTAAGGACTAAAGTGCAATTAATATATACTTTAGAAGTCCCTAAAATATAACTTTGGTCCCTTTTCTAGAGAATTCTACTGCCTTGGGACCTTCTCTAGCCTTCTTGAGAGTTCTAAAGTATTCTAGAGTTCTCCGCTCCATGACCATGAGTCATTGGAGGTAGGGGTCGATCATCGTGTGGCAGCGCTAAAAGAACTCTTGCCCGAGAATGATATCAAATATGTATAAAAGAGCGACGACAAAGTTTGTTTTACCTTGCCACTTTACCAACGTGATGCTTACTCATTGGGCGACCCCGCACACGGGAGTCGGTGGGGCGTTAACTGTCTTGAGGCGGGTGTTGCTTGGAACAATGTTCAGCCCTAACCTCTCTGCCGCCGTCTTGGTCATGATGTTTGCTTCAGCCCCGGAGTCTACCATGGCACGAGCTGGTCGTTCGTTAATGGAGATGTCTACATATTGCTGAAGTCTCCTGGCTTCTCGGTCTGATTAGCTATCGCATCGCACGGTCCAACCATGCCCAACTGCATCGTGCCCGCGTCTTGCCCTTGCTCTTGTGCGTCCTTCTCCTTTCGTTCACATAGGATGGCACCAAGGTTCTTTATCTCGGGGCACCTGGTATAGCCGTGTGGTCCTCCGCATATGTAGTATTCATCTCCTTTGTTGGTCTGCGCCTGCTTCTCCGTATAATTTTGGCGCACGAACCGCTTGCTGTCCGATTTGTGGGGGTCGTGTTGCTTGAGGTGGGCCTGCTTCTCCTTGCCTCGGCCACGGTCTCCCCCACCTTTGGCATGACTACTTCTTGTATCCTTGCCCTTCGCGTTGTCATGCCGTTCATGCTTGAAGTCCGTCAAGGACTCGGCTTGTGTGATGGCTTCGTCTATGGTCTTGATCTGACGCCGCTCCAACTCTGTCTTGGCCCAATTCTGTAGTCCGTCCATGAAGTGGAACGACATGTCTTCATCCGTGAGGTTGGGAATTTGAAGCGTTAGAGTTGTGAACTCCTTCACATACGATCGAATGCTTCCTGTTTGCTTCAATTCCCGGAACTTGCGCTTAACCTCATACACGACGTTGTTAGGGAAGAAGGCTTTCTTGAATTCATCGCGGAATTGCTCCCACGTGTTTATGGTGCACGTCCCCTTCCCGATCTCAGCCTCTTTGCGCCTCCACCATAATATAGCCATCTCGGACAAGTACAACACGGTAGTGTTGATCTTGTTCTCGTCACTTCTCACCCGACTACACTTGAAGTAGTTCTCCAAGTGCCATAGAAAGTTTTCCACCTCTTGAGCGTCACGGATGCCTTTGAATGTAGGTGGCTTGGAAGCCTCAACCCTGGTCTCCCTATCACAGTCAGGTGGTGCAGATCCTCCAGCCCCCACGCCTTCCTTGAGTGCTTTTACTTCGACCTTCAGGGTCTCGATCGTGCCAAGCGCTTCCGTAAGCTGACGCTCCAAGGAAGTGATGGTCTCCTTTGCGTTAAGCACATCCATAAGCCGACACTTCAAGGAAGTGATGACCTCCTTCATCTCGAACTCCGCCTGCTGGTGACCCTCCAATTCTCGGTCTTCTCAAGGGTGAAGTCCTAAAGGGTCTTGAACTTGCTGTCCGCCACGTTCATGCGTCGACCTAAGATCTCGACGGCTTGCCTTGCTACTTCCACTATTGCGACCCATTCTTCTCCAGCGGGGACGTCTATGGCATCTTCGCTCATTTCTTCGTCACTTGCCTCGGCAGTCGAGGGTGGATGAGACGTTAGCGCCTCACTAGTTGTGAGTTCGGGAAGCACCTTCTCATTACCCTTTTGATGTTTCTTCCCTTTTCGGTTCTTCTTACCACCATCCAAGCGGACGTTGGTGGTGCTAGCGGCGTTTACGTCTCCTTCTGTAGCCATTCCTTTAGTATCAAACCTGCTCTGATACCACTTTTTCACTGACTTAAGAGTATATGCTAAGACTCCGTGCGGCTCTCGACGACTTACTCACTAATCTTTCAAGATCTTGTAAGTTCAAGGAAGCCTTAAGACTCGGAAAGCTAAGAGAATGCTTTGAAAGACTTAGAAAGAAAGAGAGTTTTTGAAAAAGGCTTTTGTATTACTTTGGACAATGCTTACAACTTTGCTTGGTGCCTTTGCAAATGAGGTGCACCTCTATTTATACTACTTCCTAGGGACTAAAGTGCAATTAATATTTACTTTACAAGTCCCTAGATTATTTATACTTTGATCCCTTTTCTAGAGAAATTCTACACTGCCTTGTGACCTTCTCTAGCCCTCTTGAGAGTTCTAAAGTATTCTAGAGTTCTCCGCACAACTCTCAAGGAAGCCTTAAGACTCGGAAAGCTAAGAGAATGCTTTGAAAGACTTAGAAAGAAAGAGAGTTTTTGAAAAAGGCTTTTGTATTACCTTGGACAATGCTTACAACTTTGCTTGGTGCCTTTGCAAATGAGGTGCACCTCTATTTATACTACTTCCTAGGGACTAAAGTGCAATTAATATTTACTTTACAAGTCCCTAGATTATTTATACTTTGATCCCTTTTCTAGAGAAATTCTACACTGCCTTGTGACCTTCTCTAGCCCTCTTGAGAGTTCTAAAGTATTCTAGAGTTCTCTGCACAACTCTAGAACAATCTGCCCCATTTCGGACGTGGAATCAGGCTGAAATTGTGGCGGGACGTCACATTAAGCTCTAAAGGGAGGATTAAAATGTGTTGAGCGCTTCACCTTGCTTAATATGCACTTCAGTATCGCCATCAAGGTTCTATGGGACACTCTACCTTCCAAATGAGCCTCTTCTAAAGAACCGATACTAAACATTTGATATTTAACTTTATCGTGAAAAAAATCAATTTCTTTGTTCATATATTTATCATTCATGCTTTTAGTTGTTTAGTCTTGGACTAAACAAAAATGAATGTATTTTTCTCCCTTTGAGTTTTTTTTTCCTCGTTAAAGCCCCCACTCTATTTGCGCTTAAATCCCCAACGAACCAGACTTTTTTGTGCTTTTTTGCTTTTAATGATTATATTTTGTGATTAATTATTTTAATTTCCACATATGGAAAATTTCGAAGTACTATATTCTGTGAAGGTTTTTTATGGAGGTGGTACAACAAGATGGAGGAGTTATGATGGTTTTTCACTCACTTGGAATATTTTGGAATATTTTGTTTTATTAAGGTAGTTACAAGATGATGTGATTACACTGTAATAATGGAGGGAAACTACACTATCTATGCTTTTTCAGGAAGTAAAAAGAGAATTATGTAACTATGTGGCCACAAAAATATGTTAGGATGTACTGCAGAGTCATGTAGTAGTTGCTCGTATTGTTGTCAAGTTCACGGTATTTGCTCCCAATTCAGTTGAGATATGCTGTTTTAGTTCCTCCCCTTAATGGAACGTCACAGCTGTACATAACAGCACTACTAATCACTCGTTGCTCCTCTCACAACTTTCTGCATGATGTTGCCTTTTTTTTATTCTTGTTAGTAGTTGTTGCAAATGGATTATCATATATGTACTGTTGTAAGAAGATTTTATGCAGCAAGTTTCAAAATGTTACTCTTGTGCCTTTTCTATGTAGCAAACCCAGAAAGTTCATTGGATTTTCTACTGTAGAAATTCAAATTCAGACATCTATGAAGTTTGGGTTGAATTTAGCTATCCCCATCACTTCGTGGACAGGAAATTACTAGGCAAATGTTCATTATTTGAAAATTACTATCATCCACTTGCATTTATTAATATTTTTCTCTAGATTAATGCATCTTTATTGCCAAACTCTCAACACTTACTAGTATGTGTTTTACGTTCGTGCCTTTCTGAATCTTTTCTTATATGACTTAATTTTAGGATCTCTATCTAACTTAGCTTACTTGCTGTTTTTGATGCCACTGAAGCGCTATTTTGTGTTTCAATTGGTTTCAAATTATAAATTACCTCAAAGAGCATAGCAAGGTAAGCCATTCAAGAAACAGAAGCAATGCATTTGTAACCATTTGTTTTGTCTTGGCACTGCAATATTTTATTGTGGTTGAGGAACCACAAGTTAAACGTCATCAATTCTTTTCCATTTCAGTCTATTCCACTATTTTATCCCTCATCCAATTCCCAAATCTCTTTAAATAGCTGACTTTTTTAATAGTATAGGGTAAACAGGGCATCTTTTATAAAATAGACAACGGGATGTCCCTATAGGACGATAGCAGTAGGCTCGGTTCATTAAATGTAAATCTTAGTGTGTTTCTGTGCTCACTATATCCTGATATATGTGTGACTCAATTCTGTTTATGCTGTATTCACAGTTTGGAGGAGCTCCAGGAAGGCTCTAATGCCCTGCATGATGTTTTAGTACATGATCTACCAAAGATGCAGAAAGAGAAGCCAGCAACAGTCTCCCATGCTACCTCCAATGTGTGTGACCGGTGTGGCCGTGACTTATATGGTTCTTCATAATATTTAAACTAGAGGTAGCTTCCATAGATAGAAGTACACCCCGTCTTCTACGATTCATATCAATCCATATAATCATCTTTACTGACATCGTAGGAAGTATCATCACAACACTACAGAACTCTGATTTATGCTAGAAATCAGAACCGAACTAATATATGTGAGTTCCGAGAAATGCAAATAAAGTTCTCTTCTTCTAGTACCTTGTCATCTTAGTTCTTATGTATATGCTAATAGTTTACTGCGATAACTGTTTATAGTAGGTATGAAGTGTGAAACACCTAACTTGGTATTACCTTTTTTTACTCTCTCTCTCTCTGTATATATAAAGTAGTGTTTGGACATACAATAATGATCTCTCTCTATATATATAAAGTAGTGTTTGGACATACAATAATGAATTAATTTAGACCTTTCAATAACATAATTTATTATGAGCCCAGCATAATTTATTGTGAGCCCAACAGTCTATGGTCACAAATAAGTAAAACTTAGACAAATTTTATAGTGCAAAGAGTAAATTACATTTTATCTCTACTCTTTTTTTAATTACAATAATTTCGTAAAATTTGTACCTTTCGGATAATACTAACTCACCATCCGGATACATTAACTTTAATATAAGAGGAATCTTTCTGTTGTGCTACAAAAAGAACAAAAATTGAAAATTAATTAAATCCCATAAATTATGCTTACGTTTCTTCTTATTCTCAATCATACATAGGAAATATTTGATAGAATAAAGAATTTCAATATTTCAAAATTTCAAATTGCTCTCCCGTTCAACGAATAGTCCTTTTAGATTTGATTTAAAATTTTAGTAGAAGAAATTTTGGGTAAGCGACAAAAGTGATGGAATTGTTGTTGGACAGAAGATTTTCTTTTGAATATTCATATTCGTCGAAGAGACTTTCAATTTTAATTCAAGATTGTCAATAAATTTGAGATTCAAGATTCTTTCTTCTCTAGTTCACCGAGATCCTCTCAATTTTGATCCAAAATTGTTGAAGTTTCTGAGATTTAAAATTCTTCTCCTAGTTTATTGAAGACCAGTTTTCGAAATTTTGAGAAGATTCATCATAAATATCTTTGCTATCTTGTTTAAATTGATAAATATTGTATTTATATTAGATACATTAAATAAATAATTGTTGTCCATAAGATGTTTGATTTGAGATCTATACATTATTGTGTGGTAGTTGCTATGTAATTGATATATTTAATATAAATTCGAATTTATGTATCCTATCTAAAAAGTTAATGCATGATACATTACTATTTATCTCGTTTAAATTAATAAGTATTGTATTTATACTAGATACATTAAATAAGTAATTGTTGCCCATAAGATGTTACATTTGAAATCGATACATTATCGGGTGATAATTGTTATGTAATTGATACATTGAGTATAAGTTTGAATTTACGTATCCTAGCTAAAAATTACTATTTATGTAACTCTTTTAAATAGATAAGTATTATATTTATACTAGATATATTAAATGAGTAATTGTTATCCATAAAATGTTAGATTTGGAATCGATACATTATCGGGTGGTAATTGCTATGTAACTGATATATTAAGTATAAGTTTGAATTTATGTACCCTATCTAAAAAAAATAGTGCATGATACATTACTATTTATATATCTTCGTTTAAATTGATAAGTTTTGTATTTATACTAGAAAAATTAAATAAGTAGTTGTTGCCCATAAGATATTAGATTTGAATCGATACATTACCGTGTGGTAGTTATCATGTAATTAATAAATTTAGTATAAATTCGAATTACGTATCATATCTAAAAAAAAATAATGCATGATACATTACTATTTTTTGATACATTGTTATTTTTATTATCTCGTTAAAAAATTGATAAGTATTGTATTGTTATGGGATACATTAAACATGTAATTGTTATCCATAAGTTATTTGGTTCATATCTATTTAGTCAACTTATTATTTATGGATCACTGTTAGAGTAGATCTTTACCAAATCAAAATTTTATTTGAATAGGCTAATTATAGAGATGTTTTTTAGATAATTAATTTTCTTACTATAATGAAATATGGTCAGTTCGATGACAGATGACATAAAAAGAGGCAAATTCATAGTATTATATAAAGTAAATTTATAAGATAAGTAATTGAATCATTGATACAAATTTGGGAAATCTATTTGAAGACGGACATTATTTGGCATGAGATAATAATTTTTCGATCAACATTTGTTAATTGGAAAGATAAAAATTTAAAATTCAAAAGAGCATAATTTGTCATCTTTATGCCTTCCCTTTTTTTTTCCTTTCTTAAGAATTCCAAAAAAAAAATCGACGGACTTAGGTGAATAATTTTAAATGTTATTCAAGTTAAATTCGACATATCATCAAAACGAAAGTTTTAAATTTTCCACCGAATTCAAGAAATTTTGACATTTATTATTAATAAGGTGTGTTTATTTTTTTGATTGTTTATTTTATTAATTTGGATGAGTTGTTCTTATATCTCGAGTAAAATTTTGGATTGGTCTTGTGCCAGTAGTGAATCGTTTTGTATATTGTTCACCTGATGTTGGACCATATTGTTCTAATACAAGCGAAGTAACTTGTTGGATACATATAACATTTCAATTATTCTCTTACCTGATCAAAACGAGTGAAATGTACTTGGTTATATTAAGGACGACGTAGTGCTGCCTCAAAAGCACAAAAAGCTACCTGGAAGGCCGTCCAAGAAATATCTTGACAAGGCACACGGCGAACTATATAGGAAGAAGATCAAGAATTCTTGCAGTACTTGTGGGTGTAAGGGACACAATAGGCGTTCGTGTAGGAATAGACCACACATTGTTTAGTTATTGATGCTTGTATTTATATCTTAATGGAGTGGAATTGTTGTTGAATACATCCCATTTTTTAGTCAACTTTAGCTATTCAATTGGTACAAACAATTGTTAAAAAGGAATAGTAATTGGTGTTGAAAATAAAAGATTTGGTAGTTGGCAAATTGATAAGATTTGCAACCATTCTTGGCTTTGATATGTTTACATATGTCATTAGTGACATAGGCATGGTTTTATCCTTCTATAAATAGAGCATTCTTGCTCATTTGTAGAATACACCAAGTTAGAGAGAAAAACCATTTTGAGAGCAAAGTGAGGTATTCCATAGACTATACAAGAAAATAGTCTGTGACCAAAAATAGAGTGTGCGCGATCTTTTAGTAAGACGGAAACCAAAAGAGTGTTGTTCTCTTTGAGTGTGTAGTAGTCACTTTGAGTATTGTATTCGTGACTACACAGTGTAAAATTACTTACTATAGTAATATCAATTGCTCCTCTTGGCCCGTGGTTTTTTCTTATTCAGAAGGGTTTCCACGTAAAATTCTTGGTGTCGTTATTTTCCCATTTTATTTCCATTACTTTTACCATATATATTTTTGTGCTCGTCCGTGTTTTCCCAACAAACTGGTATCAGAGCCAAGGTTTTATCTGAGTATTCTCTGTGGTTGCAGCACAGTCTGAACTTCTACATCAAAAAAGATTTACTTTGATTTGCGACTACTATATGTTTTGGGATAAACAATGGAAGCCAACACAAGTAGAATGATTAATTTGAATGGTGTTAATTATGCCATTTGGAAGGGAAAAATGGAAGATTGCTTTATGTTAAGAATTTTTACAAACCAGTATTTACCAATATAAAGCCTGATAATAAAACAGATGAAGAGTGGAATTTGTTGCATAGACAGGATTGTGTATTCATTAGGCAATGGGTCGACGATTATGTATTGAACCATATTTCTGGGGAAACACATGCTCGAACCCTATGTAAGCATCTTGAAAGTTTGTATGCTCGAAAGAATGGCAACAACAAAATGTTCTTAATAAAGCAGATGTTGAGTTTGAAGTATCATGATGGTTCTCCGATGACAGACCATCTGAATAATTTTCAGGGGGTTATGAACCAATTATCTGCTATGGGCATCATATTTGATGAAGAAATTCAAGGCTTGCTTCTACTTGGTTCCTTATCAGATTCTTGGGAAACATTTAGAACGTCATTGTTAAATTCTGCTCCGGATGGTGTGATCTCTACGGATTCTGCCAAGAGTAGTGTCTTGAAAAAAGAGATGAGAAGAAAAAATCAAGGTTCCTCTTCGTTGGATGTCCCGATAACTGGCCCCAGGGGGAGAAATAAAACTCGTGATTCTCAGCATAGAGAACAAAATAGGAGCAAATCCAAAGGCAAACTTAAGGATATTGAGTGCTATCATTGTGGCATGAAAGGGCACACAAAGAAGTTCTGCAGGAAGTTGAAGAGAAAGAACAAAAATAAAGAGGAAACTAAAGAAGATGGCAATGAAAATTTTCTAGCCACCGTCACCACCGAAGATCTTGTTATCTTTCTTGATGCAAACATGATAAATATTTCTTATTATGAGTCAAGTTGGGTTGTGGACACTGGTGCCGTATCTCATGTGACATCAAGGAAGGATTTTTTCTCTTCCTAAACTCCTGGTGATTTTGGAACCTTGAGTATGGGTAATGAGACTGTTTCTAGGGTGGTTGGTATTGGTACAATTTATTTGAAAACTAGTGTTGGAACTAAACTTGTTTTGAACAATGTAAAATATGCTCCTGATGTTCGTCTGCACCCAATTTCTGTTGGTGTTTTAGATTATGAAGGATATGTTAGTACCAACGGTGATGGAAAATGGAAGCTCATTAAGGGTTCCTTCGTTGTGGCTCGTGGTAACAAACGTCGTGGTCTATACTGGACTACGACCTCTTCTTGTGTTGATATGGTGAATGCGTTTGAGAGCGATAACTCTTCAACATTATGGCACAAGAGGCTTAGCCACATTAGCGAGGAAGGACTTAATATTCTAACCAAGAAGAAATTATTGTCAAATTTCCAAAGTGCTAAATTAGAAAAATATGAGCACTTCTTGGCTGGTAAACAAAATAGAGTTTCCTTTAAGTCCTACCCTCCTTCGAGAAAGACAGAGTTGCTTGAGTTAGTGCACTTGATTTATGTGGTCCAATGAAGACAAAGACATTGGGTGGTACACTTTACTTTTTCACTTTCATTGATGATTGCTCGAGAAAATTTGGGTCTATGTCTTAAAGACTAAAGACCAAGGGTTAGGTGTCTTTAAGCAGTTTCATGCTTCAGTTGAAAGAGAAACTGAAAAGAAAGTGAAATGTATTCTTACTGATAATGGTGGTGAATATTGTGGACCATTTGACGAATACTGCAAGCATCAAGGTATTAGACACCAGAAGACTCCTCCCAAGACTCCTCAGCTTAATGGTTTGTCTGAGAGGATGAACAGGACCTTGA